GGTTTCCCAGCAAAGAGCCCCAAGAAACACTCAGAGTGTTCCTTTGTTTGAGCCATCCAGCTCCAGCCACCATCTTGACAGGGTAAAATGTGTTTACGTGCCTTCCTTGCTCATTGATTGTATTTATTTAAAGAACACTATGACAGCTGAATATCAAATTCCCAGCTAGGCTTTTATCTCCTTTTTAAGCCAGCCTGAATTATTGGCCTAATTTTATAGCTTACCCATTCTGCTTTATGCTTGCTTTCTCCAACAAAGAATTGGTGCTGTTTGATATTTAGGTCCATTTGTTGCCAAGACAGAGGCTATCAGCTCAGGAGCTGAAAACACTTGGAGCACAGAGCCGGGTTCTGGAGCCTTAACCAACACAAAGCACAGGATTTTATATTAATAAAGCTCTTGATTTTGGTTCTTTTTGAGGGTTAGTACTCCAAATCTTCCTGATGAGATGACTCTGTGCAGAAAACTCCCTTCACGTTTTTGAAATGCAGTATTTAGTAATTTATTTTCTGATGCTCTTCCGTGTGGTGTTCTTATCCACAGTGCCAGGGAGGATACAGACACAGAGAGCTGCGTCTGCTCACCTCACAAGGGTTCTCCCCAAACACAGGGCTTTCATCACTACACAGGACTATGGCCTTCCAGGCTGCAAAAGATTACATTTTAAGGGAAAACCAAAGAAAACAAACATAAAAAAAAGACAGTTCCATGTGATTGGATACCCAAACAGGACAACTGCAAAGGATATAAATCCCCTGGGACTGGTTAGATGACCAAATCCTATACTTTGCCATTTTTAACACCTAATTCTTGTATTAACTCTTCATCCAGATGTGATCTTTACCCGTGTGCAATGCCCAGGGGAAAAAGAAAAATCTCAGAAATGACACTGGAAATGTTACAGGACAAGGCTTTAGCACAGACCCCACAGTCCAAACCTGCAAGCTACAGGCTGCTCTTCCCACGTTCCACACTGGATCGAGCAGCACACCCAGCACAAAATAAACACCAAGCCACCACCACCATCTGAGCTTTGGTTTCATTGAACACCATTTTGATACCACAGCAACATGAGGGTGTTTAAATGAAGAGGAGTGACCCCATGTCTATGGAGTTACCGCTCCTTCACTCCAGAGAAAGCACAAAGGAAATATTTGTGCACCAATACCTGCTGCGCTCCAAAGCCTGTCCTCCAACACGGCATGGGAGAAGTTTCTTGTCTGCCTTTGGCTTTTATTTTCACCTCTGCAGATCTCAGAGCACAGCTTTTTAACTCTTTGAGCTAAAAGCAAAGCTTGAAAGACCGTGGTTTTCTCCTGTACAGAGGAGGAGTGGATGTTTGTGTCGCTTTTTGGCGCTGGAAATTCAGGTTTTGTTTAGCTTGGAAATACCATGGATGTAGCTCAAGTAATTCCTCAGGGTGGTAAAAGTTCAGCACTCATAAGGCAATTCTCAGTCATTTATCCTAAACTGCCAAAGGAAAGTAATTTAGAGTTCCACAGGGTGTGCCAGCCCAAAAAACGTGGAATCATCCCAACAGGCAGCTTCTTGCTCCTCCAAACCTCCCTCCCAGCAAAGGCCTAAGAACGGTACAAGGTGCATCTCCAAACCAACACAGCCCTGATGAGGGAATAAAATCCAAATCCCTGTCCACACTGGCTTATTCCAAACAGGGCTTTAGGCACAGGAGCTACAGCCACTGTTCACACACCTACCACAGGGAGCAGGGTGTGAAATCTGGCCTCATCCCCACCCTGCACTTAATTTTAGCCAAAAAGAGGGATAAAGTCATAGCTGTGCTAGAAATCCCTGCAGCAACCAGTCAGTGAAATAATTTCTTGTAAGAGGAATCTCCAGGGCTGGGTCAGCCAGTGGCATCCATGGAATCCCGATGCAATATCCTCATTAAGGTTGGCTAAGGACCCCCAGCACTCCCTGTGCACTAATGACTGCGGGAAGCCGTGCCTCCAAGTCGTGTGTGACCTGGCAGAGACCAGCACCAGGTGCTTTTTGCTACCTTTGCAACACAACAAAAGAAATTACACCCAGTCAGGAAGTGTTTCCCTTCTTCCCAGCTTTGATGAATGGAGTAATAAACCAGCTGCATCTTGCAGGAGCAAGTTCACATATAAAAAAACCATGTAATTCAAGGGCACCCTGATCTTCATCAACACCATTTAAGTTGTTCAGTGCTCCCTCCGACCTCCACCGGCTCTGCCTGAGCAAAATGAGGAGGAATAGACTATCCCACATAGGTCTGTAGGCTTGGAGGGAAAGGGGCCCCACAGTTTTGCTCCCTGGAGGCACCCGCTCTCCCCACCCCCTTTGTGTGTATTTTTTTAACGTGCCACACATCAGCACAATGCTGACAAGGGCTTTGTATGTTTTCTGCCTATGCAGCAGTTCAAGACACACAACTTTGGATTTTTTGAAAGGGACAGGGGGAGGGAGCTGCCCTTTGCTGTACTGTTTAATTGCACCGCTTGCTCTTCTACACAACCACAGGGAAGGGAAAAAGCACCAAGGTTTAAAAACAGAACCATTTTTAGTAGCCAAAAGGGTCAAACTCAGTCTTCTCACAAGATACAGTGGAGCTCAGAGTAAAACCTACCAGAGACAAGACAAAAATTATAAATCACCAGGGTTTCTTCTCTGGAGTTGGATGTGACCCCAGAAAACAGCTCATCCATCCTCACTTGCTGCTGTTACAGTCTCCACATTTGCACACCTGCCAATGCAGATTCCAGCACTGGAAAAAAAGGAGGGAAGGGTCTGGAAAGCTGGACTGTCAGTTTTTCCACCTGCCAGGAGCAGCTCAACGAAGCCCAGGTGGCTGAGCTCCAAGGAGCAGCGAGCAGAGCACGCTACCAGCCTTCTGGAGTTCCCATCTCACACGCACATGCGTGATATGGACAGCGCTGGCAAACGACTTCCTTCAAAAATAAGGATGACTAATCCACAGCAGCGCTGCTTTATTTATTTATTTTAAAAGCCACAAGGCAGAGCTTTTTCCAGAAGCATCAGCCTTTGTGAACCAGCAAGCAGTGGGAAGGGGAAGCCCTGGGACCCACTCCTACTCTGCAGACAGAAGTAACCACAGGAACACTGCGGGTTTGTGTAGCCTGTGTGTGACACATGCAGACGTGGCCGGAGCCTTGTCCCTCATGCTTCTGGCAAGGCCAGATTGCACTGCCTGGGTGATTCCTGGATCCCTGTGTGGTATGCAGGAATCTGCTGTGGAGAGGGGTTACATAAACAATACATTGTTTCCCTTGGAAATAACAGAAAGAAACAAACAAAAATATCAACAAAAAACAACAGAGAAAAATAAGGCATGAAACAGCTTTAACCCATAACTGCAGCATCCCCCCGGGTGAGGGGAACGTGCTGGAAAAAAAACGGGGTGCAGAGATTTGGGGTCAAAGCAGAGCAGCTGAGTGGCTCAGTGGGCCCAGGCCCCCCAGCAAGGTCACTCTGGCTCACAGGGACACACATTTGTGCTCCAGGGCAAAGCTGTGGTGGAACCGCAGTGGAGGCAGGGCTGCAGGAGGTCACTTAGGGACTGCAAAAAGGGAATGGATTAAAAAAAAAAAAAAAATTAGAAAAAGAATCCATAAGCAGATGTTTACTGACATGCAGCAAATCCACAGCTCGGCTCTGGAAAGCTGCATGGTTGGAGGCACAACAGCCCAGTTCCCAGAACACAGCAAAATACTCTGCATCTATAGATTTAGGTAACAGCTTTTAGCCAGACCCACACCACACCCCACCAAAATAACACCAAACCAAATTTGTCATCTTTTTAAGCACTCAGAAATTGAGGTTTGCCACCAAGGTAATTTTGCATGGTGGCACCATTAAATACTTACCCACCTCACAGCCAAGGGCTGCACAATCTTAAATTTGTGAGTGTTTGCAAATGATTTGGAAAGCTTTCCAAGGAAGGTGCTGTATGATTGTAAATCCTTCCCGTTATTAATAAAAGGGAGCTATTGTTTCAGCTCTAATCAAGCCTTGTTTCCAGCTGGGCAATTTTAAAACGCAATTCAAAACACACACAGGAAAAAAAAAAAAAAAAAAAAAATCATGAGGAAGCTTCGGAAAAAAAACCCCAAAAAACAACAGTGAAGGAGAAATGGGAGGGGGGAAGGAAAGTAAAAAATAATACGCCTGCTATTTAAAATGAATTCCGAGCAGGAGCATGCTGGGGCAGGGGGGGAATCCCCCCTCTCTCCGCCTGGGAAAGGTCACTTATGCCATCGGTGCCATGGCCACGCCGGAGCAGGGCTTCGGCGCTGCCAGCCCTGCCTCATCCATCTCCATCAGCGACAGCTCAGCTTTCCATTTATTCAGAAAAAAAAAAAAAAAAAAATTAAAAATTTAAAAACCCACAAAGCCCCTCCAAGCTGCAAACACCTCCCCAGCGCTCTGTTTTCAAGGCTGGGGGAACGGAGCAAGGGGGAGCGGCTTGGAATGAGGCTCCCAGCCAGGGAGAGGTGGCGCATCCTCCGCATCCTCCTCCTCCTCCTGCCCGGCGCTGCGGCAAAGACGCCGCAGTGGGGGCTCCCCGCCCCCGCGGAAACTTCTGGAATCAGCAGCCAAGCTGGAGAGAGGAGAGAAACCTTTACACCCGCAGAGGGGAGAGGGGAAAAAAAAACCAAACCCGTATAATAAAAGGGAGAGGATTGCACAAGGCCGGGGAAAAATAAGAGATCTCTGTAAAAGTGAAGCCCCCGAGCGGCTCTGGCAGCCCCGGCTCGGGTGGCGGTGCAGCTGCCTCGGCTCGAAACAAAACGCCCCAACAAAGCATATTACAAAAAAAAAAAAGAGAAAGAG